TCTAGCAGTGTAGCTGCACATTGCACCTCCCTCGCTTCACCCTACCCTTCAAGTGCAAAGAAGAAACTACAGTTCATCATGGCAGGAAGGACCCACTCCCTCTGTAGATAAAAAAGGCTCATTCTAAGGTAATGAAAACACAACATAACACAACAGTCTTTTTTCCATGTGATTATACACCTATGAATATTATTCCATTTTTACCAATAGATCCTCTTAAATGTTACACACTGGGCCTTTAACACAGCTGAAGTCAGACTCTAACTGGCAGCTGCTTCTCTCTCTTACTGGGAAGTTTTGTGCTAATGTGACAGTTTGTATTGGTGTATGTCAGTTTTACTGCTACATTGACTCACTGTTTATTATTGTGATTATTATTCCAGATAAAGTACATAGGAAGCTGTTACAACTGTTCCTACAACTGTGCCTGATATGGCATCAATAAAGTTTGAGTGGAATAAAGGCCCCTGCTTCTGTGTCTATCTCGCTAATTGGAGAGCTGGCATACAGTTATTAAGAAATATTAATTGTTTCTGCCAATCTAATCTACATCAACCAAAGAATATAATGGCAGAATACAGTAATATTTGAAAATATATGTGACTGAAGTGTGACATAAACCCCCAGTGGTTTAAGTATTTGACTTAACTTTGATAATTTACAGCAGAAGGTTTGCTGAGCATGTTAGAATGCACAATTAAAATAGTAAATAAATAAAGTGGTAAATTTGTGTCATACCTGATACCACAATACACAAAATGGTGCTCGTTGATATCTGTGTGTTATAGGACAGGAGATCTGTCTGTATACGGTGCAATAAAGGAAACTTCCTAATAGGGTAAAAGGCCATAACAAATGTCAGTGTGAGGTAATATTCTTAAACCAGTACAATTACATGTGTTTGGAAAGCTTTCATTTGTCAAACTGAATAAAAGCTTTTAAAGTAAACTGATGTTCCACATCTGAATTGTCACCAGCAGTTGGAGGGAAGGAATCAGATTGTGCCTCATGTTTTCAAAGCTTTGCATCTAGATGCCACTCTTATTTCACAAATGCTCACTCCCAGAACTATTAAAAGTCAGTGGATCTTTAGTTCCGCCACTGTTTTACACTCACCTATAATAATAGAGCTAACAGCATTAGAGGATTTCTTAGCTTGAACCAGACTTGGCAGGACCAGCACATCTAAGGCTGCTTGAGCCCTCCAACCTGCCACAGGGCTGCTTCCAATGTCCAGGAGGACAGCAGTGAGGGATAAGACTTTTTCTACAGGATCAAGCGAGGAAATCCGCTCAGACTATTCCTCCAAAGAAGATAAGATGGTCCCTACCATGGCTCCAGAGAATTTATAGACATTTTAAATGGCCTTAGCCAGAGTGGAAGACCTTGAAGACGGACTTAAGGACCAAGAGCAGTGTGTTGATCTGCCTCTCGACTCACCTAATAACCCTGTCATTAGACTGAGGGCTGTGCGTGTGTAAGACCTCGGTCAGCCCTTATGTTGTTTGCGCTTGTTTGTTCTTTCCAGGATAGAGGGTTGGGTGAGATCATCCATCAGTCCACTTTACCCTCAGATCTCTGACATCTGGAGGTTGCTCCAACAGTGATGTTAGTGCAATGTGATGTTTCTTTTTGTATTGCACATTAAATAACTACCATAGATTGTACGTATGCATGTATCGCTTATCCGACTGATTTCCACTTTCATAACACGTCTGCAGGGATGCTGAAAAGTTAATTTTGAAAAAAGTGTTGATAGGCAAGGGTGATAAGCAAGCATGTAACAGCACATTGTAACAGCATTAAAGCTACTTTGTCAATGTGTGGGATGCCACATGTCCCTGTTAGGTGGAGAGCCAGCTTTATGCTTTCTTCTCCTGGCAATGAACAGTCTTCCGTGGTGTGAACACTATATTAGAAAATGGCACTAGAATGGCAGACTGACAACCTAAATATACAAAGGTTTGATCTGGTTGCATTTGTTTTTACTGTAGCTATATGGTAGATGATACATGCCTGAATATCAGTGGGTGTCCTTATGCAGGGCTTTATTTAACTATCTGGCTTTCATGTATGAGCTGTTTATGTTATCTGTTTAGGCTGCAGAAGAGGAGCGTGTTAACATGGTTCACCTCAAGGAATCGTATTGAGAATGTGTAGAACAAGTCAAGCACTCCCTTTAGTGTGTCCGGTTTACTTCTCCTGAGACCTTGTAAGATGACCCAGAGTGCATGTGTGTGTGTGGGTGTGTGTGTGATGTTTTGTCTCTAACAGACGGAACAAATCAGCACACAAAATTTTACGGAATCCTGGAAAAAGAGTGTCTGCTTTTGTACCCTGTGTGTGTGTGTGTGTGTGTGCGTGTGTGTACCCTCCCTCAGGTGTCTTTACTTTAGGTCTCGTCCTTCAATGACTGCGCTCCACTTTGAAGTCTGTCAATCCCCTCCATGCAGACATAAATGAAACCACAGGGAAAAAAAGGAAAAAATAAGGCCCATCCCCTTTGTTATAGTGTGTTATTGTGTAAATTATTATAAATAAAATCTAAAAAAAAACATCCTTCAAATGATCAGTTACATGATACTGTCTTTAGATTTGTGATTAATTAATGACTTTAACTTTAATTTAGAAATAATTTGTAATATTGATGTGCTGTATGTTCAAATAGGAAGGTAGGAGACAAGGTTTTCAAGAATTGGACCTAAAGTTTTTGTCAAAACCACAATGATGCCCAATCTCCAGATTCAGTAAATATTATTATATTCAGAATATTACAACATCAACATAAACAAAAAAACAACAATAAAGTCACTTTTCCTAACTGACTGGATAGTTTGCACATATTTGTTTAAAGCAAACTTACATTTAAAGTTCTTCTGTCAGATGCAACATTTCCAGAGATAATATTATTTAATCTATTAGGGAGACATTACTTGTTCATACCATCACATCTCATTTGGCTGTGCTCCATGAGAGTCCTCTGGGTTGCTTACACTTGGCAAGAACTGACTGAATTTGTCAGAAAAAACTTTAGTTGTGACTAATACTTTGCCATAAAAAGGCCAAGTCAGACAAACATATTGTAACTCTTTCCAAACAGATGTTTAGTGATTTCCTCACAGTTGTATTTAATGATAGTTTTCTCATGCTGGGAGCTCTGCGTGTGGAATAGAGACTATCTATCAAACATAAATGTCTGTATCATCTTCCATATGCTTCCATACATGGAACACATTTCTTGGGACTTCAGAGTAAATATAAAGTTAATACTCTAACAACACTTGAACTCAACCATTCAACCTACACCCAGAGAGTTACAAGTACACAGTGCAAAGACAAACATAGTCTGTACACGGAGCAGAGAGTGCAAACCATGACTGTGTAGCTCTAACCAAACCCCTTGACGCACACATTTTCTCAAGCAGGTTATCTTGTGCTCATGCACTGTGGAAATGCAACTATTAGGATTAGAAAACACACACACACACACTCATATATCATATATAGCAGTGTCTGAGAGATGAGATAAGGGGCTTAGATGAAGGGGGCAGGGTTGTCTCTGGTGAAACTCTGACTGACATGGCAGCTCTGGGGTAATCCTGCTAATCCTCTGCTAGCTCAGGGGTGCAGTGGGACTGGAGGCCTTTGACCCTTCATCAAGAGAAGGTGCCACAGACACACACTCAGACCAAACTTTCGGTGGAATTTGAAAATTCGTGGTCAAACATCTTCATCATCACTCATTCTTCCACTGAGTGCACCACCATGTCCCTAAAGAGTAAATTATTAACTTTTATAGATCCCTAAAATATGCTGATAACATTTGTTTGTGTAGAACTACGTGTTCGGAATGATTACAAAAGCAATTAGGAAGGATTATGAGGCCAATTAACTCTGACTCACTGGACCGTTCACCCCACAATAGCAGGAAAAGTGTGAAGCTGTTAAAGAAACAGCTGATCCGTGACACATATTTTCAGTCATATCAGTTGTTTGTGTGCTGGTGTCTAGGTCAGTATGCAAAGTTGTAAACACGCAACCAAGTAAACATGCCATATTTGAGCATGGGCTAGTTCTGCTTTCAAGAGCACCGAGAGAGCCCTCATTACATTTTATAGTTCTTACATTTCAAACATCTGCACAGTTGCACTGTAATAAGAAATGTTTTCTCTTCACTTGTGCTCCTGGTATAATGTTTATTGCATCGTAATTGAAAATAAAAACGAGCCACACGGTACCTGTGACACTTAGTTTTTAATGCCATTCAGTGTTCGACATTTAAAAGGCTCCAATCTGTTCAGGATGGAGGGATTGTTCAGCTCCACTGGCAGTCATCCACCCTTCAGTGTTTCTGAGACTCTGAGAGCTTCCTCAAAGTAGACACAGAACAGGAACCTTCACAACTTTCAAAATAAAAGTAATGTGAGTAAGTATTTTATATAGAATATTAAATATTATATATTATTATATATTATATTATATATTCTTTGATGCAAATCACTGGATGAATGCAGGGACAAAACCTTAACAGGGGCTGTTACTACGATTTTGCCATTGGAGCATATATTTGAACATTTATTATTTTAGTTTTTTTCGTGACACTGGTGGTGCAGCTATGCTAAATTATAGATTATTTGCATATATATAACTATATATGAATATATAATTTAATTGGCTATTATAAAAGTAATTCTTCTTCATCTCACTCTCCAAGTGATATTTCCTTAAGCTTACAGTTATGATCTATAGCCTGCCATCTGTAAAAGTACAATGACACCATGATGGTAAATATATGGAATGAATGTATAAGCCTATATGAAAACACTGTAAAACAACAAAAAAACATGTTACGTGATATATTCATTCACCACATTTTTTACTTTGAAAGGCTCTACCGGAAGCAGGTTGTCCCATATTCCTGCAGACTTGACGCTGTTGCCTGGGGTAGATAACTTGGTGCTGCTGTATGAGCGCTCACACACTGGGAGCAAGTGATGGGAGACCAAGTCAGTCCATGACGCGCGTATCGCTCACCTGGCAATATATTTTCATTGTTGTTGTTGTTGTTGTTTTGTTGTTTTGTTTTTTTCTTCCAGATTTTTTGTTCCTATTTAGAATAAAAACATCCATCCTGATCTCAAGGCAGAAATAGGGGTTGAAGCAGGAGGTCGACGCCCGCCGTACAATTCAGTATCAGTGTCCACATTGGCTTTATTAATTTGTGTTTTGGGATCTTGCGCACCGAGTGTCCGGGATTTGAGTCATGGCAGAGGAGTGAGGCGCCTTTTGCCAAAATGCCTGTTAACTGGAATATAACTTTTTCACGGCGGTCCTATGGAATATAGTCCGATTTTACACAGCCTACATGTTGTGCCATCATCCCACGTGAAAAATAAACTATTTGTGTTCTGCATAATGCTGTCCCTCTGGGTGTATATGATTTATTGTTGTGTTGGCTACTGCTCAACTGTGCCAACCCTGGCGTACGGCTCGGTGAACAGGCACGAAAACGGTGCAGAAGTTGACAATCAGGAGTCGTCTCTCGGGGCGTCCAGGGACTTGCTGAATAACGAAAACGATTTGGACAGCAGAGGAGAGGAGTGGGATGAAATTAGAGGCGAGGCGAAGGCGCTGGATGATAATGCCATGTCAAGTTTTCTCAATGAGTCGGAAAGTAAAAAGTTGCCCCAGGCGATCATCATCGGGGTGAAGAAAGGAGGGACCCGGGCGCTGCTGGAGTTCCTCCGCCTGCACCCAGACATCAGAGCGGTGGGAGCTGAGCCGCACTTCTTTGACCGCAACTACGACAAGGGACTGGAGTGGTACAGGTATCATGCTGATCTGCTATTTATATTTTAAAACATGAATCCAGAGAGAGATATACTGAGCTCTGCTTGTGCTTCATATTGGACAAATTGGGCTTCTGCTGCTGCCTTGCTCAAGGGTATATTTCACGTAGTTATTGAGCCTCTTTGGAAGCATTATAAAAACACAAACAGCCTATTATTTATCTTCTAAAAGAAATATACCTGCAACTGTTATCTACTTTGTATTGATAACCATTAAGCAACCAGCAAAGCAAACGAATGTTATCTTATTTTAAATAAAGACTGCCTTTTTAAAACTCTACTCTCATATTACCTTTAATTTATATTACACCCTAGCTACTAGATTATATTATCCTGACTAGTCATTTCAACATTTTCAACAGCAAAAAGAACACAAGATATGATAATCAGCTGTGAAATCAACTGATAATTCAGTCTGTTTCAGGGGAAGATGTGTTTAAGGTGATAAGATAATAAGAACAGAGAAAGTGGGAAAAGAAAATACTGATACTGTGAAATGCAATGGCAGATTTCTTTTACTGACAGGGGCAGGTGACACGATCCTGCTGGTAAATCTGAACACTTTTAAGAATTAAAAGATTTTGTAGTAATTTATGTCAGTTTATAAAATGACGGTAAACTGAAGGTTAAATTCCACTATGTTACTGTCTTTATTAGGCCAGAGACTAAAGAGGGTTTACAGTAAGTGAAGCATTATGTAAAAACACAGAATTTACAGGAAACAGTTGCAGTGTAGTTATATAGTTATTGATAGAAAGGAAACTGAAACTTAGCCAATAAAACACTGCTGATAAGGTGATAGAAACTGTTGATATACCCATTATAAAAGCTGGGCCAAGCCATTTTGTCTTACGGTTTTAACAACAGCAGGTGCAATCAAACATCTAATGTCAGTATAACATCACAGGTCAGAGCACTCAAACAGGGAACGCCGCTATGTACCCACATTTCTCGGAAGACTAAAACTTTCTTTTTTGCATTGACATTTTACGCAACTCTTCTCAGCTGTGTTCATTTACACAGCACAATCGATTCTCTGCTTGTTTGCATGACCTTGACTCACAGAGTTCCTCGAATTTTTCTACATCTGTCCTTGGATTTAGACTTTCTGTGGCTCTCTGACAAGAAGGGGATACGAGGAAGAAAAAGATAGAGCCCCCATTTAAATTTGACCTGAATTGTGGATGCAGTTCAAAGAAACAGCCCTTGGTTTATGATTAGAAGTCAGCAAGTTATATCATGCTGTCATCCTTGAGCAGCCAGGAGCATGATTCAAGATTATGAGTTACAGGGTATTGATTCAGTGGCAGCAATTTGTTTTGATCTTCAATCCAAATAGACGTCAATTTCAAAGTCAGAGATCAGGGATTTGAGGCTGCTCACACCTTCAACATTATGTATCATAACGTTTTTATTGTATTCTCTGCCATGGCAACTGTTGGCCTTGTCCTCACATCTCAATATGCAAGCTCTTTACTGTTGACTCAGCTGCACAGTTAAACACAGCTTGCTACTCTTAGTAGAAATAGATGGTAAACAGGTTTATTCCTGGAAATGATCAATCTTTTATGTCCCCAAACGTTACCGGAAATGGTTTGACACTGAATGCTTTACATCAGAGCGACCACATTGATAATAAGAGATAATAAGAGATACTCCTTTTTCAAGTGTCCATTTGACTGAGCCGAGGGATTAACAGTGTCAAAGGCAATGTCAAAGGATCGAGACACTGTTCCAAAGCTGGCTCCATAGAGCTACAATAGGGGAAGCGAAGCATTGTTCAAAGGACTTCTCGCTTAAGCTCCTTTAAGAATTTCCGGACAGGTTTAGGACATTTTTGGATGATCAATCTGTGAAGAGTGATCTTTTGTCCATCTCTACAGACTGAGCAACAAGAACAAATTGAAATCATCTTATGCTTGAAGATTTTATTTTACTTTTCATGCTTCTTTTTTTTTTTTTTACCAGTAATGTGTAAAAAGAAGGCGAAGCTATCCTTAAAGATGAATAAAATGAAATGTTATGTAAGTAACAGCCTAGGAAGCAGTTGCATATAATTGAGACGTGTCAGCTTCTTGTTCACAGTGGCAACTGCATACCAAACACGCAGCTAGTGGATGTGGGAAACCGTTTCATCTTGAGACATGTATAATGAAGACTTCTTTTCCCACAGAGGTGATCGCGCTAATTAAAACAACTTGGCTTGAGTTGTCACAGTGAGAGCACTCTGCCACAGATTGACCCCATACAGCATAGCACCGTGACATGGAGTCAACCCTTAATGATCATTTAGTGGAGCTCTGAGAACACGTCGCTGTTGGACGAATGAGTTTTTCCACACAACGCTGTGCTTACTTGCCAACTTAATAAATGAGCACTGACACACCATTTTAAGGGCCTGTTAAAACTTTGTCCAATGTCCCGTTTGATCAAAAATATGTCTTGAAGATGAGCTGATGGTGCCAAGCCTTTACAAAGGTGTGTGTTGATTTGTTTGCACATATGTTTCACTTCATTGCCCCCATACTAATGGCAGCAGCCTGGGGAGAGAAGCTGTCTGCTGGGTGGGCTTATCAGCTCCTGTTGTGGCATTGAGTTGTGCCCATGCCATTTATCTGCTGTGATTGGTGTGTCCATTCTGCTGGGGGTCTGCTGTGTCCATCCTGGTGGAGCCCCATATAGAGGAGAGGCCCCACTGCACAGCAGGACACCAACCACAATACAGCACATTTTTACCCATAGGCAGGAAAAAAGAGAAGCAGGCAGACAATTGTGCACATAGACCACCTCCTATGCCCCTCCCTTCTTTAATAACAGAATCCCAACTTCCTCCCATATGTCTTATCTTGGCAGGTGAACTAATCGTCTACTGAATGCATGCTCAAATCAAGGTCTTCTGCTTTCTGTACTGTAGATGTGAATTAATCGCTGTTATTGTGTTTTTCCTCTTGAGGTTCCATATGTAGAACAATGAGCGGCCTTCTCACTAACTCACTGAGGGTGTCAGAAAAGACGGCGTAATCCTCCTCAGAGCCCCAGGGAAGCTTACTGCAGGCCAGTGGCAGATAGAGGGCAGTAAATTTAAAGTGAGTCTTTAGAAAGCGCAACAGTATTATGGAGCTCAATGAAAGGGGATGCTGGAGAACCCCCGGGGTCTGCATTAACCCTGACAATAAAAGAGCAGACAATTAGTGTGAAACATGTTTTCTCTGCCTTCACTTTGTATGCAAATGTGCTCAGAAGGGTGAAAGTGCCCTTTGACGAAGCCCAGCAGGAGTTCATCAGAAAGAGCATTCATTGGAACCGGCCCAAGAAAAGACTCAAACACTACACTTAAGCTTTTTAGGCTGAAAGTTGACTTTCAGAGATCTCTGTGTGGAAAGTTGTGTTTCCCAAGAGTAGGTTCATTTGAGTCCAGTGGTGGCTTTTTGCTTACTCAACACTTTTAGCTCTTTGCAAGGACACAGGGGGATTGGTGTAAGTAAGAGAGCTCTCGATATAGGTATCCCCCAGCTTAAACTAATGTGTCAGCACACTGACAGGAAAAAAAGGGAAAAGCACGTAGATAATGAGATGCTTCAAAGAAACAATTCACACATGCTAGCTGTTGTTTCAAACATTCCTAAGATTTTTCCACAAACCATAAAACCATGAAAACGTTGTGTCTTGCAAAAAGCAATCCAGACTCTATCAGATCATTGCTTCTGATAGACTAAATTAATGCTAGCATTCCTAGAATAAGTCCACTAAATTGTCAATACTGGTAATGTGCACCTCCCCTCCCCATCTCCGGGAGATTGAAGACTTAATTTGCTGCAACAACCCCCTGGGCTTTTGCTTGAGGCAATTTGTCAAACCACAGCACTTATTACAGCACTTTGGAAACACTGAAACAAAACAAGTTCACTCCATTATATCCCCTTGAGTTGTTGACTTCCTCATCTCTCTTTTTTGTAGTATCTTCAGTCAAAATGCGCTGTTTCCTGCTTCTATCTTTCTCTCCACTGCAGAGACTCCCTGACAGCAAGTCAGAGCGACTTTAGAAAGCACCAATCTGCCTCAGCCATCTTTGTTTTGCTTCTTTGAAGTCTTGTTTGCTTTTGCTGATCCTTTTCAGACCAGCATGCATCTGCGAGGCATTATCTAATTGTACCAACCACTATATACGTTACATGCATTACATTGAAAGGATGGGGATTCTTTTAACAATTTTAACATCAAATTTGATGGGTAAACAATTTTGTTTTGCTGTATAGAATTACAATTACTTGGTTACATGAACACATAACCTTTAGTCACCTGCTCTCTTGTTTTCCTTAACTGTTTCTGTGTCAGCAGTTTTTTGTTTCTTTGCTCATTCAGAATTCCCCCACCACTTTATTTATGTAAGAAACTGTACTGAAGCTCACTTGATTATATAAGTTGACCTTGTGTTGTGTTTTATTGTTGGCCTTGTTTGACCAAGTCTGTGTACAGTAATTGCGCTTTTTGCTTTTCTCTGAAGACACTTTCATGCCCATTCAGAATTTCCTTTTTTCTTGATGGATGGGTAATTTTTTTGGGTTCTGCTAGTACAGATTTACCATTGCACTTCTATAACACTGGATGCACCCAGACTACTGATATTGTCCTTTTTACTCTTCTTCCATGTCAAAATGTGGACTATACCTTACCCAAAAATGACAGTTTGGTCAGAGATTTGGGTGTGTTACCTCAGTAGTGGCTAATATTGTCTCATGCTGCTAGCCTCGAGCGGGCTACAGAGGTCTGGCAAGCTCACTTTCTTTTTTAATTTAAAAAACATCAAACTAATGCTGACTCATGTAACATGTATGTGTAATATCAGGGGAGATCCCCTTTAAATTAGAGGTTCACTGTTGGCTTGTGTTTTTATTGCTGCTACATGATCTCCCTGTGAGTTCCTGGTCAGGGTAACATATTCTGGCTCATCTAAATAACAAACATTCATGTTTCTTGTATTTTATCTTTAAAGTCAGAGCCACACCTGTTGATTAGTCCCTCTGAGCTTCCACCCTAAACAGAATCTGACAAAAACAACCTGTTGACAGTAAAACACATTGGCTCTATTTGGCCAAATATCTCCATCAGAATATAGGTATTTATTAAGACAGCAGTCAAAGCATTAGCTACAAACCATACATTCATACATACTGATATTGATTTTTATCATGCATTACCGATTCTGATAATTCTGATGTTCAATCACTTCCACAAAGAGTGTAATATCATCCGGTGTGATTGGTTCAGCATTGTTGTTATACGCTTTTCCAGCAGCGCCACCCTGATAAAAAGTGCTCGCTGACTGTCAGAATTGTTATGTGTTAATGCAAGGCTGACAGTTGTGTGAGGGAAGCCAGAATGGCTCACACACTGTTCCTCCTTCTCCTCCTCCTTCTCTTCAAACTGGGCCTGTCTCCATCAGACAGCCAGGTGGCCTTGAGTTCTGCATACTGACAGTAATAATGGAGGATGGGAAAAAGGCATTCTCTGCACTATCATTGTTGTTCAGGAATGCTGTTGAGATAATGAAGGTCCTGAGTGTAAAGCTTGATGACGATGACTTTCACACGCATGATAAGATGGGCTGCAATGAGAGCACCTTACCTAAAGATGCTTTCCTCTTTGATTTCTGTCTGGAACTCATCTCACAGTATATTGGTCTGATTATTATAAGTGGCTGCATACCACCACCTCTCATCCTGTCTTTGAGAAGAGGAACAATTCCCACAGTTGCTCAACCCCTCTCAGCCTCAGTGTAAGATTAGAACCCAAAATGACATTAGATAATGCTGAGTTTTTTTTCTGGAGCAACCCCTTGTCACCATGGTCTGAAAAGCTGAAATATAGATGCCAATTAGAGTCAGTCAAGCAGAATACCGCAGGATACAAAAGTGGGAGCCTTATCGGAGTTTTCTGCACCGTTCTTGTTCCGTACTTTGGTGAACTCATTTCTGAGGGCATCATCTGCGCAGCAGTGTTGTAAATTCCTACCTTTGAACCGGCTTCCTGATAGCAGTGAATGTAAACAAGGCACCAGCTTTCAAACGGTCTCCTCTGCATCCAGTTTAATGGACACACCTGACTGCCCGGGAGACAAAACAGGCAACTTACGCAATACACCTCTGCTGGATTACTATCTGTCAAGGGTTAGATGCATCTTGTGCTACCGTTGAAGGAAAATGTAGCCACAGCATCTGAAGAAGTGGCCAGTGATTTTAGACTTAGGCTTCTGGGTCAGTGGGGTTGACCTATGCGGTCTCCATCCTCCAACAGTGCACCTGATCCCATCTAATCCTCCTTTACTCCTTCCTCTCTTAACTTTTTTATGCCTTCTCTTAACAGTCTTCCTCCCTGCCTCCCCTCGTTATCTTCTCAGCCGTGCCTTTCTCCTGTGAGTTTTAAGGACAGGTTAGAGGGCAGAGGATGTTTATATATATGCACAAGCATCAATATAGATATATTTTTAGTGCACCAATTATAGGAAGAAAACCCTTCAAAGATTAGACTCCTCGCTTTACAAATTTGAAAATATATTTAAAGCCCACTTAGATGTTACAGTTTTAGAGCAAAGCAGTGTTTTTCGCTTTATGAAGTCAAATAGAAACATGCAAAATTCATGAAGGGGCAAAAGTCAGCACACTGTGGCTCAATTCTAGAGAGAGGACTATTTTGTCCCCCCTCTGAATGATGCTGAATGATGACGCCTTTGCATGGCTGATTGATAGATGAGGTAACACTGAAACCTATTGGTTCCCGGCGACATTGTTTATTAAGCAGAACAAATTGTGAAAGCTTGCTACATCTGCCCCCGTAAGGCAACTTTCTTACTCCTCGTTCAGTCAGAGATGTTCTCCCCTGCTCTATCTCTACTAAGATGAATAATGCATGTGCTTCTGACACAGATTGTTTTGCTCAGGGACTAAGTGGAAAGTTTGATTGGTAGTAAGTTTTTGTGTCCCTCGAGGCCCCAAGAAAGGCCTACGGCGCACCGCTTGTGTGTATCCAAGAGATGCGGAAGATAATTGCAGGGGGTTCTGATAGAATTGTTTGTGTCTCTCATACCTATTACCTTGATTAGGTTTGTGGTTTTTTCATCACATACAATGGTGGCTAAGGCTCTCAGGGAGGGAAAATGGAATAAATGCGTAAGACTTAGGGCCTCTGTAGAAAGGAAGGAAAGAGCAGGTGACATAAGGTGATGAAATTGTATAAGCAAGAGAACCCTGTGTGTGTTTACATGGCACTAATGAGGTATGGGTGATGTCTACTTTTCCCATAAACACAACAGCTTTTTCACAGTGCTCTGCACAGTCAGATACTGCAGACCATTTTCTGCTTGTTTCCACCACATACATTTATAAGATGAAAGCTGCTGGGTTTGGAGAGGAATATTGAAGCTCCTTGTGCTTGTACCAACAGAGGTGGAAATTATTGTTATTCACTTAATGAATGGCTCCTTTCTGCCTTTAAGAAGATGTTAAGCTCCTCTGTGAAGAGTTTATAATTTTTTTACCTAGGTTTTAATAGGTGAACACACAACAGACATTGTATCAATAAAAAATGCAGATACACGTCCATGTAATAAATGCAACAATTATTTAAAACGGCGAACTTGACCCTGTAAGAGTAGAGTTGATTCAACTTGTGTTACTCTTGATTCTGTAGTCTGTGGTGTTGTTGAATTGGATTACATTGTTCATTGTTGGAACAATTTCACCACAAGTTTAATGCAAAATAACCTCAAACTACACCCATAAAATACTGCATATAGCGTTCAGTGATCGCCATTGTGACGCAGTCTCGCAAAATGTGACTACACTGGGTTGCACTCAACCGTGCAGGAGTTTGTGTTATTGTGTCCGTCACTTGTATTTCTTCATGGATTAACTACTTACCAGTGACTCTCATCACCGTGGCCACGTATGTCTCTCCCCCCTCTGTCTGCAGAGACAAACCAGCCACCCAGCCAGCCAACAAGGCAGTCGACCAGCCTCTAATGCTCTAGCATGTTTGGCTTAGTCCTAATCCCCCTTGGCTCACTTTAGCCATTATCCGGTCAGGGCTGCAGTTAACAGGCTATATTATGATCAACCAGAGCCATCCAGGGTCAAGAAGAATATGCAGTTATGGGAACAGAAAGCTCCCATGCTTTGCATTTTCTCCTAAGGAATGCAAGACTTTTTCAAATTGTCACATCTTTTACAAAATTACTGATAAATATGAATAACAGCGTGCAGTCATAGTCATCTGCCTTGGCATGTCATTATGAATATAATACTGCCTATTCACAGTTAAACCTGCCTTTGTATAATGTAATGAAGGTGGGGAATATTTCAGTATGAGGATTGTGAGGTTTGAAAGAATTGAGGTCTTAAAGTAGATCAAATGCAGCAGCAGGAGATGAATGTCGTTCTTTAGGGTTTGTATTTAAAACATGTCATGAACTGTGTATTGTGTTCACATGCAATCACGGATGATTGATAGGACCCCTGCTCTACCTAACACGTCCTGTCACTTTAGGCACACTCACAAGCTCTGTTAATGTTGCTCATGATGTCTACAATTGTCTTTTTGATGGTGATTGACTTGCTCCTGACTGACAGTACTTTAAACCTGCCACCGAGCTACAGCGTCAGTGTTAATCTCATCTTCCTGAATGGGAACTTTTGAAAGTTTGAGAGTTGAATAGAGTATTAAATGGCACAGAGTTGTTTTTCATGTAATAGAGTGCTTATAGTGCAAATGTCAATCAGTGTGCCTGTGTGCTTTGCAGGGAATTGATGCCCAAGTCATCAGAGGGCCAACTGACCATGGAGAAGACTCCCAGCTACTATGTCACAAAGGAGGTCCCTGCTCGAATCTACACCATGTCTAAAGACACAAAGCTGATTGTAGTCGTCCGGGATCCTGTCACCCGAGCCATCTCAGACTACACTCAGACTCGCTCCAAGAAGCCGGACATCCCCTCTTTCGAGAGCCTGACCTTTAAGAACATGTCAGCAGGTCTGATTGACACCACATGGAGTGCCGTTCAAATTGGCATGTATGCTAAGCACCTTGAGCGCTGGCTCCAGTACTTCCCCATGGAGCAGCTGCTATTTGTTAGTGGAGAGCGTCTGATTAGCGACCCCGCAGGTGAGATGGCTCGCGTCCAGGACTTTCTTGGACTCAGGAGGGTGGTCACGGAGAAGCATTTCCACTTTAACCCGGCAAAGGGCTTCCCCTGCCTTAAGAGACCTGAGGGGAACAGCAAACCACACTGCCTGGGCAAAACCAAAGGCAGGACCCATCCTAATATTGACCCAGAGGTGGTGCAGAGGCTAAGGGACTTTTATAAACCCTTTAATAACAAGTTTTACCAGATGACTGGTCATGACTTTGGCTGGGACTGACAGGAAACTATGATAACAAACTCATGCTGGGCCCTTGTATGTGTTTTTTATAATGTTATTACTCTGGAGATATTGTTATACAGTGTATGTACAGTATTTGGTGGATGTGTAAAAAGTTCAAAAGTCTATTTTATGATAATTTATTGTTATGATATTAACTCACTAAGCTGCCTAACCAGGTATATTAATGATCCTCCACACACAGTTTTAATTCTAAAACATGAACAATTTTCTGCAAGCACAATGTTCTTACGGGTATTATGAGCAGGGTCAGTATCTTTTTTTTTTTGCCAGGACATTTCTTTTTTGCCAGGACATTTTTTTTGGCTTAATGTGGATAGCCCCTTCTTCTTCTTTTACTTTTCCAAATGCTGCTCTTGCTTCACCTTTTAAGCTGAATGAGATCCAACTTTACAAACAACTGTTAATATCCCCTTAACATTTGCCTGACCCTCAGAGGTCTGTGGACCCACTTAGTCAGGTCGATACGGGCCTCAGCTGATCCAGTGCCACTTGCCAGGTGGATCAATACAGTAATAGCTCCTCATCAAGTCAATTAGACCTGAGTGATGGCACTGCCTTGATCTCTCGAGCACCGTAATAAAACATGGATCCATTAATGGTAGCAAGTTTATGGTTGACCCTTGAGCCAACTTCAAGTTAATATAATAATATGAATTTCCACTGCAATATTTTGACTTAACCACTATGTGTACCGTTTCTCCAGAGGAATGTTGATTAGGATCCAATAGAAGGTCCTGTCTCAATACTTTTGGGATGTTTCTGAAATGGCTCTCATTGATCATCCTGTACAGCTTTTTTTTTTTTTTTTTATTAAAGGTGATACTAGATGTGTTAATGATGCCCTTATCCATGATACATCAACTGACGGAAATAAGCATTTCTCTAAATCTTTGTAGCTTACTTTCAGTGATAGCTGGAGAGAATTAAAATAAACCTATTGTGGGCCAAAATGTCTCATTTAAAATTCATGTATGGTTGAGTTTTAGTCAACCTTTATACATTTGTCAGCATTTTATCAGACTTCATTCGATAATGATGTACTGCAACCCCGCTGTTATAGAGGCACTATTTTGCTGTATGCATTGCTTTACAAACATGGAAATGAAGCAGGTTTGACTGAGTTGATTAAAAGGTGCAGTCATGTCATTTTTATGAAGTAAGAAATAAATGTTTTACCAAAAATCATTAACGGTCTCTCTTTGGCTTTACTATATTTCTTTCACCATATTTACTGCATTACATAACCCTCACTGATTAATGTCATTATTTTAAAATGCTTGTGTTTGTCTTTGATGCATTACCCCCCACCCTCACCTGTACAGATCTCTGGATCCCTGCAGGCAAACGTTCACTGCTTGGTCTAATTCACCATCTTGCACAGTATTGTGCTAACGGGCTAATTAGCACAGCGCCATTAAACTACTTTTAGCTATCTCAGCACCCCCGCTGCCACCAATGAGAGGGTTTTGTTGCCATGACCCCCACAAACACATAACAAAGTGTCAGGTTTCTCATCTGGAGAGAAGTGACATGTGAAAAACATTGGCATTCCTTTATTATTATTATTATTATTAACACTCCTCAATATGAAGTAAGGTCGGGTTTCAAGCAACTGTTTAAATATATTTATGTGGATGTAAACACAAGGTACTTTTTCCTGTTCCTGAGTTTGAGCAATGACCTGAAGAAGAAGTCATCTTTGTAGAGCTGATTATGCTGCTGCTGATATGACATTCAGTCACATAATAGCAGCCTGTTTTGCATATTTGTTTTTATTCCAGAAACAGTAGTCTGTCAATATGTTCCGTCATATTTTATGGATGCACCACAAAGTGTCGATGCACTTGCCCGGAGCAACCTGTCCCATCCATCATGCAACACAGCTAACCACAGAGCAAAAGGTTATGGCCAGATATGAATCGCCCCGCTCTATTAACGAACAACCTTTATTTAACTCTCCAGCAAAACACCCTCATTTACCTGGGGCTGCCACAGGGTGATGAAGCCAGTCTCCCTGGTGGCAGGCTAGCAGTCTGATCACTCAGGAAGCAGCTCCCTTTGCAATTACAGGGATAGAGGAGGGGTGCTGTAATTGCTAGGCTCCCAACTGGGGAATTGCTGTTAGCACACATCCCTCCAGGCTGTTGTAAGGGAGGCTGCTGTTGTTTGAAGGTTGAGAAGACAAGGAAAATAGACACCTGGCAGCCCAGAGCATCAAGCGACTTCACACATCCACTTGGCAGCTACCACCGGGGAATAGAATCAGAGCTTCTGAATAAAAGTGAAACAAAATAAAACATCATACAACAGCAGGCTGTTTGGTTTAGAGAACAAATGTACTGAAATTTGGAGTTTGGGTGCTGGCAGCAGGATGAACTGTAGCTTCATTAAGATTTCAATAAAAAAAGCTTCACATTTTACAAAAATGTCAGTCATGGAGGAAGTAAGTTAAACATGTTCGGTCTGTGTCTGCTGAAATGATTGCAAGTCATTCATCCACTCTGTGTTTGATTTGATTGTGGGCTGAGTCACTCTTCAGCGATTAAAGAATTTAGTTATGTTCTCCAAAATCATTTTATTATAATTTAACATTAGATGCTGAGAAAGAAGGGGGCTGACATGAGCGGAGGTGCCAGATTCACACTCAACCAAAATTATTTGTATCATATGGTGTATGCATATGAAGGTGAAAAGCTTCACAATCTAGTCAACAAAACGAAAAATCAAGGGGTCTGATGCTACTATCATATATCTGGGTTTAAAGTACTGTTTCGGACTAGAATAGACATGGTTTAGACAATCCTACTGGCTGAAAGATGAAATGTTTTGAGTCATGCAGAGAATATGACATCAGTCATGTTTCTCTTGCTGCACCTTGCAGGGATTAAATCAGCTTTTGTTACTTTTTTTTCCACATTTGGATTGCTGACCTTTTTTCACTCTCTCATGAATTGAGTAAGCTCTTGTACAATGTTAGGCAGTGCATGACAGCCAAACAGGATGTAAAGTCTATTTTGAAGCAAGGGTTTGTATTTTTAGCTTTGAGTTTGTTTTGAAAATTGTGAAGAAATCATTTTTTATCAGAACCTACCATCACAACATACTCTGTAAGAATCGAAAGGGGGCCGTGAAAGTTAAAAAGGTTGAAGAACAGCAAATGTTCAACACTGTTGATTCGAATGAGTCGTCAACAGGAAATACCTTTCCGATGCAGCTGAAGTTTCTTTAAATACTGGAGGTATTCATGTTCAAGCACTGTGAAGCCTGATCTCTTGGACAGAATTAACATTTCTTGAGCAACCAAATGAGAATCAAAAGACCAGGGAGGATTCTTAGGTAAACTTTGCTCAGAGGTTAATAAGACAATTGCCTTCTTCTCTGTCCCTTAATCTTTTTTTTCTGCATTGTTAAACCCTAATCCTAATCCGATAGGAAGGGCAATCTGAGACAGTAGACTTGGAGTTGACATATATGTGCTGACATTGCTAATCCAAATCTAATCCCTCTTTCAAAAGGGCTTCTCAGTGTCGTGTGGGACCAACTTGATTTACGTAACTTCAAATATAACATGGGGGAATATTTATATTAAAAATGGGCAGATGATACTTTAAATACTAAATTACTGATGTGTACACAACACACCTACACTCTGGGCTTGTCAGGTCAGATCTAAGTGCTGAATTCACTGCTGTCAGATTCTGATATGCTGCTAGCATACATCAAATCCTCATTGGCAGGATTTAGGGCTGAGAATGCTCGATTGCATCTGAAAACAACTTGTCATAACACATAGTAACTAAACATTTCTCAACACGTTGTCCCTCACATAACAAGGCAGATTTCTCAGACATCTGTTCAAATGCAACCAAGCTTTTCACATCCAAATGTTGGTTAGTATAATTTAATACAATGTTTCATATTCTTTTGTGGCCATCATTGCTTCTAGATATATAAAAATTGCAATTCATCGTAAAACAGAAGGAGCAGTAATTCCCCCGTGATAACACCATCAAAGTACTTATTGTTACATACTGTAGCAGTATAGGTTATAGTACTTTGTGTGCACTTGAACATAAAAGCTAAAATAAAAAAGTAATAACATAACACATAACATTTGCTTGATTTTGAGTTTCACTTTCACATTTATGCCATTATAGTTCAACATTTGTCCTTTAACATACTTCACATCAAAGCTATGAATGCAATCAAGGCTCTGTAACATGTGTTCATGTTGCTCATGTTCACATTGTTCTGCGCTTATTTTTAGCTCACCACGGCCTGAAACAGATGGGTAAAGAGTCGTCAGACTCTTTTTAATCACATTTTTGATTTAGTAATTGCTTTGACTCTAATTAGCCTTAAAGCATTAGCATATACTTCTGTTGGTATTATAATGCTGCTTGAAAATTTTCTTATCTTGTAACAGATGAGGAATTCAGTTTTCCCTGGTTTCTGTAGCAGTTCAATTGTCCAGAAGAAAAAAAACATTTGTTCTTTTGTCTTTAAACCATTAACCTTATGCAAAACAGCTGATTCCCCTGGTGCTCTCAAGGGCCGGGGCTTCAGGCTTTGTCCAATGAGATTATTAGACTTCACATATGGCACTCAACATGGCTGTTAATTTGAGCTTTGAAGTTGCTCAGATTTTTGCTTTCATCACTGTTCTAATCGTAAAACATAATCTTATATACTTAATTTTGATCAGATTTTCTTGTGTTAACATAAGAGCTTATCAGTCCATATTGTTCAGAGGATAAACAGATAGCGTGATGTAGTGAAGACTGGAAGTTGCATCACCACCAGTGAAATCCACATGTTGTAACCAGAGATTCCCTGGAGGGAGGACAGGGATGAGTGTAGAAGTGCCCTCTAACCAACACAGGCAGTTCTGTCGTTAATGTTCACTCTGTGGTCTCCCAGCACTATTTGTTGCAGTCGCCCGCCTGCCTGGTACCACTTTGGACTCTCCATTAGGCCAGACCAGTCCTCTCCAAATCCCAGTGGCATGCCATTGTAATGACTTTATCATTCTACCTCCGCATAGCCACTCATTGAGTCCCCGATCACAAAACCATTTCAGCTTTGGCACAAAACTCAATATCTGTACTGTCAATGCACATTGTCAAAGCACTAAAGTAGCCTGCTTGGCTTATCGGATTAAACACATTGTTTTAAAGTATTTCATGCTCTTAGTACCTTTAAATTACATCATTCAGTAATCAGCATTAGTTTCTCAAGCTCTACCACCTGTGACCCAACCAAGCTCAGACATCTCAGTGCTTTTCCGTTCTTATCCTGCTTTCTCTGTAATGAGGTGTGTATAACCCCCAACACTCTATAGACCAATGTCACCTTCATAATCCAAGATTTGGACTTTGAAGGGTGAGGGATATGTGGGACCCTCAGTGGGATTATTGACTTGACTGTCTGTTGCATGGTCTGTCGTATGTCTGCAACTTCCAGTGAGGCCGAGCAGGAGGATCCTTGCCCTTTAGCTGCTGCTAATCTGGAGTGGAAGTCACATTACTGTCTGAGCCTCAGGACCAGACAGTTACATTTATCTGTACATACGTATATGTGTCATAGATAAGGATATTTTTAAAATAGTGCTTCTACAGGACAACTCCTCCTGGACATGGCAGATACAAGCCCACATGGCATTATATCTAATAAAGTTATGGTGGGGAACATTTTTTATTATGACTGTGGACAAGGATAAAATGGGCGGATAGTGGGAGTTCATAACTCAAGGACTTGTTGGCTTCTAACAGAGATCTTGCAATAAAAATTAACTAGGGACAATAATATGTGTGCCTTGAGCGTCAGATAAAACACTTCACACAGAGATCATTTCGAGGCTTTCAGTGATTTAATCTGATTTTGCAATTAATTGGTTCGTTAAACTTCTGCTCCTGGGATTAAACGAAAATTAAAGCAATGCCAGAATGGAGCAGGAAATTTCCCAAGACGGCCACCAGCACCAGACTCTGTTTATCTTCCATCCATACAAACGCATCACTCATCTCTCCTTGAGTATTTTGTATTTATGGTGCTTATTTTCTATAGGCCTCAAGTTTTTGCCATGAGTATTTTATAATTTCTGATATATTCCAGATTATTATGGGTGTCACAGTAGGTAAACTCCTAATGA